ATACTAAAAAAAATATAAAAATATATATATTTTTCCGGAAAATATTTTCTCAAGTATAAATTATTTACTGAGAGGAAAAATACAAGATAAAATATTCAGAGCATATTGTATTTATCCTCTTATTATTACGGCTGATTAAACTTAGAGTTGATTACACTTAATACTGCATGGATGATGTACAGCAGTATTTGAAACCAGTGTAAAAACCTTATTCTAAGGTATGTAGATAGCAGTCTTGGTCATTAGTGTTGTTGCTCTTATGACTGCTGGACCCTGTTGAGCAGGTGCCAGGATGGGGAGCTCGGAGGATGCAGCATGAGGTGGTGGTACACATCCTTAGGGAGCTCGCAGGCTGGGGGGTCCTGGCTTGAACATCCCCTTGGAGCTGCTCCACACCAACCCCTCCTTGTTTTCCCTGCCCAGCACAGCATGCTGGATTGCATTTGGGGAATTGGAGGGATGCAGCACACCTGGGATTACTGCCATGCTTCATGTTCTGCAGCCCCTCTTAGAATAGTCAAAGGTGCAGGTACATGACCAGGAATCCTGCCTGCTGCTAATAATTGTAGAAATGAGAAACAGACATTATCTCCAAAATATAATTGAAAGTCAGCTTGAATGTTGGTTAATCATAACACATTACTGTAGTTGTTATTATAACTTCACATAGGCAAAATACAGCTAGGAGGCACAAAGCTGAGAAAAAAGCCTGTAGGAACCATTACTCTGTCTAATACTACTATTTCAGCTGTTTTCACAGCGAGAGCTCTGCAGATCTGTTTGTGCAACATTAAATTTACATAGCAGAGAAAAGTCCTGCCTGCTGCATTTCAGTTGTCTGAGAATCTGCAGTGTACATTGGTGCATAGTCACTTATGTTTTACAGCATTAAACCCAGCACTTCCAATTTCAGTTAGTGAGTTATTAGAGAAACACTGTTTTTCATGAACAGTTGCTGATGACATTTTGGAAGAATCCGGTTCTATGTGTAAAATTCAGTTGCATCCTTCAAAAATTGATTATGCCTGAATCTTTGTGAAAATGGAAAATTTGGTATCATTCAAGCACAGACTGTCTTCCTTCAGGTGAAGAAATGAAAGGATGAGGAAGGAGAGGAGGCAGAGTATCATAGAATCATCATGGAGCCACAGAATGGTTTGGGTTGGAAGCAACATTAAAGCTCATCCAGTCCAACCCCCTGCCACAGGCAGGGACACCTTCCACTAGACCAGGTTGCTCAAAGCCCCGTCCAACCTGGCCTTGAACACTGGCAGCAATGGGGCAGCCACAGCTTCTCTGGGCAACCTGTGCCAGTGCCTCACCACTCTCACAGCGAAGAACTTCTTCCTAGTGCCTAATCCAAATCTCCTCTCTGTTGGTTTAAAGCCATTCCCTCTTGTCCTATCCTTACTTACCCTTGTAAAAAGTGCCCCTGCAGCTTGTTTCTTGACCCCTTTAGGCACTGGAAGCTGCTTTAAGGTCTCACCCAGAGCCACCTTCTTCAGGCTGAACAAGCCCAGTTCTCTCAGCCTGTCTCCATAGGAGATGTACTCCAGCCCTCAGAGCCTCTCTGTGGCCTCCTCTGGACTTGCTCCAGCAGCTACACATCCTTCTTTTGTTGGGGGCCCAAGAGCTGGACACGCAATGCAGCTGTGGTCTCACCAGAGCAGAGGGGGAGAATCCCTTCCTTGACCTGCTTGTCACGATGCTGGTAATCCTGTCTTGGGTGAGGTTTCTTTTGCAGGCAGAGAAGTTGGGATGATTTTGTTAATTTGAAACCAGTGACACTACTCATTTCAGTAAGGTTAGTGGGGACAGGAAATCAGTGCAGGCAGGAGGTGAAGTTAGTGCGTGCAGTGCTGGGCACAGGCTCACTCAGAATGTTTGTGAATTCCTGAGAGTCCTAAGGGGACTTGGCCAGTTTTGAAGGAGTGAGTAAACCATGGACTGCCACAGCTTTTGGTATCAGTGTGAATAGTTTTGCATAGGCCTATAGAGTTTCTGGATAATCAATAATAGAAATTTACTTTAAATATAATATTTTTGCATTGATATTCATCTGGCACAAAACCATTTCAATTAAAAAAGATTTCAAGAGTCAGCTCTCTTTTATGTTTCCTGTACAAGGTGGTATTTAACCGTCATGATCCCAAGCAGGTAGAGGGTCACACCACCTGGCCATTCCCATCTGCTCAGTTTGCTCACATGCTCCCAGCATAGTTTTGGGGACATCCGTGTTACTTGTGGCAGAAACCCAGCAAGGCTGAGGGCAGTAAAGTGGCTTTGAAACCTGGGAAGGCTTAGCCCTGTCCAAATAAGAGACAGTTAATTAACTGAGCATTTCCAGTGCTGAGAGCACAAGGAGAAAAATAGAAATGAGGTGTTCACAAACTCAGGGTCCTGTATTATTTCATTGCTAAGTCATGGTGTTTTTTTTTCTGGGAGCAATGATAGCTCTTGCAGAAGAGGAAATAATTGCACAGCTGGCAAATTATCTGGATTATCTGTGTTCAAGAGTAAGCAAGCACTAATTACTACCACGTTGGGAAAAGCTTTGTGCAGCACAGCACCATCCCCGACCATCCCTGAATGACTGCGCTCTGTGACTAGGGTCTTGGAGGCCTTACAACACCCACACTAACCCAACAGTTGAACTCTGTGGTTGTGTGTGCAAATAGGGGAGTACTTGATCTATTTCCTCTTGCATACAGGACATATGAAACCTACCAAAGGAAGATCTGGGAACTGCCCAAGTGATTCAGGTTCTGCCATGGGTGGGAATGCACATGGTGACTCTCTTCTAGCGTTTTCCTGCACTGCACATGAAAAGTTTTGTTCCTGTTTACTTGCGTTCTGGAAAAATGGTAGCAGTTTGTTTTATATCACTGTTTGTATGAGGCTGTCTCCAAATGCAGGAGCTCCTGCAGAAGCTGAGCTTTAGATGGGCAGAAGTGCTGATGCTGGAGATGCTGCACTTGGACAGATTCAGGTGCCTAATCTGACCACGGGATAGCAGATATTCCTAGCAGTCTTTGCAAGCAGTTTACTAAATATCTGAATGAATTAGTTGATTTTTGTGACTGAATCTTTGAGATACAGACAGTAGTTACTGTATGTTGATGTGCAGTTGTATGTGTTGAGCTAGCATGATATTATGCATTCTCAAAATTCAGTCTTGCCCACTTTCATAAAATCACAAAATGGTTTGTGTTGGAAGGGACCTTAATGATCACCCAGTTCCAGCCCCCTGCCATGGGCAGGGACATCTTCCTAGACACTAGACCAGGCTGTTCAAAGCCCCATTCAACCTGGCGTTGAACACTGCCAGGGATGGGGCAGCCACAGCTTCTCTGGGCAACCTGTGCCAGGGCCTCACCACCCTCACAGGGAAGAACTTCTTCCTAATATCTAATCCAAATCTCCCCTCTGTCGGTTTAAAGCCATTCCCCCTTGTCCTCTCCCTACCTACCCTTGTAAAAAGCCCCTCTCCAGCTCTCTTCTTGACCCCTTTAGGCCCTGGAAGCTGCTCTAAGATCTCCCTGGAGCCTTCTCTTCTCCAGGCTGAACAAGCCCAGCTCTCAGCCTTTCTCCAAGAGGTGGAGAGGTGCTCCAACCTTTGAGGCATCTCTGTGGCCTCCTCTGGAGTTGCTCTAGCAGCTCCATGTCCTTCTTATGTTGGGGGCCCCAGACCTAGACCCAGAATTGCAGGTGTGGTCTCACAAAGAGTGGAGCAGAGTGGGAGAATCACCTCTCTTGACCTGCTGGCCGTGCTGCTGGTGGTGCAGCCCAGGATGTGGTTGGCTTTCTGGGCTGCTAGGTTACACATAGTCAGATCATGATGAGCTTCTAATTGACCAGTACTCAAATCTTTCTCCTCAGGGCTGCTGTCAATCCAGTCCCCACCCAGTTTGTGCTTGGGATTGCCCATACCCATTTGCAGGACCTTGCATTTGAACTTGTTGAACCTGCTGATGTTTTATGCAGTTGTTTTTGCAGCTGGGTTTGAAGTTGAGGACAGAAACATGACTTTTGATCCATATCTAAACTAACATGCCCTGAGGTCCCCACCAGCAAAGACTGTAGGTGTAGGGGTGCTGAGACCTTGGCAAACTCCTTCCGCCAAAGTCCATCTGTCGCATGTGGTGGATGCTGTCACCTCACACCCCTCCTGACGTCTGTGGACAGGTGGACAGGACTGTAGCACAGCTCTTGTGGCAGTGGCTGCAGGGACACATTTGGGCTGAAAAGCCTGTGCTTGGGGCAACACATTTAGCTGAGCTAAAGTGCGTATGGACCATGCATCCCATGAGGTTCGCTGAGCTGTGTTTTTTTGGGTACGCATTAGTTATGAATCGGTACAGCATCTCAGAATGATGTTCCTGTGAACTGGAGTCAGCAGTTTTCATTTCCTGTAGACATCAAATGCTGAAAAAAATAGAGCAGGTATTTATGGGGAAAGAGGACATCTTTACACAAAGAGAAGTTGTACTCTGACTGGATTTGCCTGTTGTAAGGATTTATAATCCTGTTAAGGGAGATTATGCCTGGTAATTTTATGCACATTTAGTTACTCTCTATGGCAAACCTGAGGCATTAAACTCTCTTCACTAAGCATTTCAGATTGGATTTGAGCTGCTGTTCTGGATGCAGAAGGCCAAAATTCCATCCACTTTACCATTACAATGCTCCTGAAATAATCTATGGAATTGTGATTTTGTGGGTAGGAAGCAATCCTGCAGGTCTCACCCAGGCAGCGCTCTCATCAGCTTTGGGGGAGCTCTGCTTGAAAGTCAAGCACACGGAGTATACAGTCAAAACCATACTATTATTGTTAGTAGTTTATATTTAAGTTGCTGTGCATAGAATATATTTATAGTGAAAATGTCTGAGGTAGTGAAATGTACTGTAGTGTCACTAAATAAATTCCACAGTGTCTTTCAAAAGGTATTTTTTCTTTTCTTTTCTTTTTCCCTTTTTTCTTTCTGTTTGTTTTCAACTAGGACCCCTACTATGGCTGGTGGCCTATTTTCTATTGACAGAAACTACTTTGAAGAGATAGGAACTTACGATGCAGGAATGGATATCTGGGGTGGCGAGAATCTTGAAATGTCTTTTAGGGTAATTGCCGTTTTCCTTCATTTTCTGTCAACAAACACAGTTGTGCTGTAACGGTTCCTATGGCGCGGACAGGGCACTTCTGCTTTAGCTGTCTTGCAAGTCATGGGTTAATTTAAATTCTCAAGATGTTCGGGAATGCCTCATTATGGTGTTTCAGTCCTTTTTACTGCATGAAACATTACTGTTTAAATATTTCTACAGTTTCAAAATAATACATGTTTTAGTAATACTTTTGTTTATAAAAGAAATGAGGCTTTCTGTGAGCAAATACTAAATAACATAACAAGATAGAAATCTGTTTAGTGTAAAAAGTCAAATATATGTTTTAATAGAAGTTTTTGAAAGTGTATGTTGTCATGAACTTGCAAGTTCTGGCTGGGAATTTTATTCTGTGTGAGAGCTGAGCTCACAGAGAGATGTCACATTCTGCAGAAAAGTGACTGTTTCTGCTGGTGATAGGTATGTTGTCCATGACAAGAATAAAATCTCTTTGAGTGAAATGCATTTAGTAATTGTCCTTTAGACAGGAAGCAGGTGGAGCAGGTATTTTTAGAGAAGATCAACTGGGAATATGAAAACATTTTCAGGCTATTTTCTGTAAACCATAATATTTTCCTTTCCAGTAAAAGAGAAGGGTAGAGTTACTTCTGAGCATTAACGTTATAAATCAGCAGATTTCAACTTTTTTTTGATGTATAGACCCCTAAAAATTTTCCTTGGATGTATATAGGCCCCTATATAGGAGTTTATTTTTAAATTCAGCCTGTTAGTAGGCTTGTTTTTCATGCCTACAGAAGTGATCCCTGGAGCAGAGGGTAACTAGTGCTGCTTTAAAATGTTGAATATATGCCTTTCTTAGGCTAAATCTTCATATTCCTACTGCTTGTTTTTCACCAAATATTAAGAGTATGTGATTTCTGTAAAGTTAATTTTACCTGTTTCATTGAAACTTTGAGAATTGCTGATGCACATTAAATCCTGACAGAGAGAACTTTGAAGGAGTGCGTTATTGTTGGCATTAGTTATCACTTACAGAAAACCTTTTGCAGCACCAATTTGGGGTCATTACTGTGGAAAGGTCCCGTTCAGTGTAGTCTGAAATATTTAGCTTTCCTTTTGGAAGAACAACGGGCTTTCATCATAAAAATTATAATCCCTGAAAAACCAACTCTGATGCAGAGGGACAAACAAGGCAATTTTAAGAGTCTGTATTATTGGAGAATACGTGGACTACTTTTGTCAGTGGCTACTTTTCTAACAAAGATACAAATATTGATCATTTTTCTGTCAGGCCTTGTAAGTGCATCAGAATAAAATAATTTACAATTCCATGGCCCTTTTCTGCTCTCTCGCATAATAGATTCATTTTGGCAGAAAGCATTTGATCTTCTGCTGAAAGCAGCATGTGAGCATGCATTTGGCTTCCAGCATATGGTGAAGAAATGTCCTAAATAGGATATTCTTAATGCATACTCTTGCTCAAATAATTCTACTATATTTTAAAAGCCTTTCCTGAGAAGTTTAGCAATTTAATGGTGCTGTTCTGTCTTCATCTTGGGCTGTTCTGCTCTGGCTGTTGACAGCTGCATAAGAAACTCATTGGGGTTCCTGGCACAGGTCAGCCAGCTCCTGGTCAGGATGATTTGGGGTTTGCAGTCAAGCGCAGTGCAGGTTGAGCTGGTACCTCTGCCTTTGGTACAGTTTCTCCTTCCTCAGCATTTATGTAATTTATATTATATAATATAGCACTTGGAGGGTCTGTTTTTCTTCTCTGTGTGTGTGTGTGTTTCTTTTTCCTTTCCTAAATAATCATTGCTTGAGTCCTGTTTCAGTTGGACTTCAATTCTAATCAATGCTTGTGTGAGTAAGCCAGTGATGGGCTTAACTTACATAAACCTTTATGAGAATACTGTCATGAGATCTTAATTTCAGCTTTAAATTAAAAATCTCAGCCATAAACATGTGCAAAGATGAAAATCAACGATAGCCACGGTCTCTGCAGAAAGCCCTAGTGATAAAAGCAGGGAAGCAGCTCTGCCACTATTTTTATGTTATGTGCTAAGACTAAGGGGTAGGGGGAACAAGGAGAGGAAGCCCAGGAATTTTGGGGCATCATATTAAGGAAAATTACCTTATGTCTTCAGAAGATTTTGCCACTTAAACTTCAAGAAAAAATGAGCCTGAAACGTGTGCATCAGACTAACGAGGATCATAGAAACACAGAATGGTTTGGTTTGGAAGAGACCTTTAAAGCTCATCCAGTTCCAGCCCCCTGCCACAGGCAGGGACACCTTCCAGTAGACCAGGCTGCTCAAAGCCCTGTCCAACCTGGCCTTGAGCACTACCAGGGATGGGGCAGCCACAGCTTCTCTGGGCAGCCTGTGCCAGGGCCTCACCACCCTCACAGGGAAGAACTTCTTCCTAATATCTAATCTAAATCTCCCCTCTGTTTAAAGCCATTTCTCCTTGTTCTCTCCCTACCTACCCTTGTAAAAAGCCCCTCTCCAGCTCTCTTCTTGACCCCTTTAAGCACTGGAAGCTGCTCTAAGATCTCCCTGGAGCCTTCTCATCTTCAGGCTGAACAAGCCCAGCTCTCTCAGCCTGTCTCCACAGGAGAGTTGCTCCAGCCCTTGGGGCATCTCTGTGGCTTCCTCTGGAGTTGCTCCAGCAGCTCCATGTCCTTCTTACGTTGGGGGCCCAAGCGCTGAACACAGCACTGGAGCCAGGTGGGGGTTGGGGGTGGATGCTCACAAAAGTGGGGCAGAGGGGGAAAATCCTCTCCCTCACCTGCTGGCCATGCTGCTGGTGGTGCAGCCCAGGACATGGTTGGCTTTCTGGGCTGCAAGGTCACACATAGCCAGATCATGATGAGCTTTTCATCAACCAGCACCGAAATTCTCCTCAGGGCTGCTCTCAGTCTAGTGTCTGCCCAGCCTTTGTTTGTGCTTGGGATTGCTCAGACCCAGGTGTGGAACATTATGCTTGGCCTTGTTGAACTTCATGAGGGTCACATAAGACACATTTATCTCACGGTGTCAAGAGATAAATAAAATGATTACATGCTTCTAGTGCCTGGAAATTTGCTATAGGAATGCCAGGCAGCCTTGTGATGCTGTTACTTGGTTTTTAGAGGCTTCATCTATAAAGAAAACCAAACATATAGTCAAGTACATCAGGTATGACTGGATTGATAAAATGCCAAGGCCTCTGCAGTTAAAAAACAATCTGATGTAAAACAACTGCAGAAAATTGCTAGCAAAGAGTGCCAAGTGGCTGGGGAGGTTCCTCCAGCAGCTGCATTACAAGCCTGCAATTAGCCAACAGGTTTCCAGAATATCTCACTGCAGACAGTAAAACACTGATGCTAAATTCTGGTTTGGAACTGTATTATAATAGGTGTCAGCTATAAAGACATTTCTAGAGTTCTTACTGTGCTGGATGTTTTTATCATTGAATGGGAGCAGGTTCGTTTTGGTGCTGGTCTGGTATTTAGAAAACAAAACCAAAACTTCCTGTTTTGCTAATCCCTGCATCCTCAAAAAATGTTACAAATTGCCTCCCTGAACATCTTCATGGCCTCCTCTGGGTTTGCTTCAACAGGTCCATGTCTTTTGTATTTTGGGTGCCCCAGAATTGGATGCAGTACTACAAGTGGGGTCTCATTTTTTGTAGGTGTTCAAACTGCTTTCCAGTGTTCCCTACTGAATTTGCAACATTACCGTACATCAAGAGAACTATTGGAAAATATTTCATTAGCAACGTTCATAATAGAAGTTTTAATGTTTGGATGTACTTTATATGCAGTAGCAAACTGTAAAAATGTAGCAAATGGAACTAGGTGTAAAGTGATAAATCAGGCCACACAGACAGTGGTTGTGATGTGTATTCTTTATATAATGCTGATTATGTCTTTGAGCTGTGGTCACCGTGTTTTGGCTGATGTCCTGTTCATCCTGTGTTACTCTTCGTCTGCCCACCTTCCTCATCTTTGTTTTAAGACTCATGATATGCAAATCCAAGTCATCTTGCTCTTCTCAAAGGTTGGATTACATGATCTTTAAAGTACGCTTCCAACCCAAACCAGTCTATGATTCTAAGCTTTTCCCAATATGCACAACTGATTATTAATAGCAATTTTTCAGCCTGACTCTGTGCAAGTCAGCTTTCAGATGCAAAATTATAGGTGTAAGAGAGCATTTAAACATGTTTAAATAAACATCTTCAGCTGATTTGGATGACTGTAGTTACAGTGCATAACTCCTGGCGAGGCTGGAAAGGTTGCATGTATGTGAGATTATTATCAGAAGTACACCATAACATTGAAATGTGGGTGAGCGGAATTTTGGGTATATAAATGCCTCATCACCTGGCAAACATATTGAAACGTTGTCTCTGTGCTTTTCAATATTCCTTAGCTGTTTGACTGTATTAGTTTTAGGAGTACAGTTTGCTCACAAATTGTACTTAAAATATGTTTGTGCACTTACATACATTTAAAGGGTATATTTTTCTCTTTCTTTGTACTGCATTAATTTTTTGGTATGTCAGGATTCTCTTTTTATAGGGAAAATATTCAGGATCACAGAATCCTAGATTGGTTTGGTTTGGAAGGGACCTTAAAGATCATCTAGTTCCAACCCCCCTGTAGTTGATTTCATTACAGAGATATTTGGTATTAGAGTTTTCAGTGATTTTTTTCGTAATTATTACTTACGCATCGCTGCATAGCAATAAACAAGTTTAACTCATTTAACGTACCTGTGCTTACATGTTAACCTTCTTTCCGACTGCAGTAATCTTTGGGGATTTTTTTTTACCATAGCTTTGATCTGTGCATATGTGTGGTAGATGTTTAATCTAAAACCGTCATCCATAAACACATATTTGGAACAATAGAGACCCTCTATGTAAAGAAATGTTTGTTAAAATGAGGTAAATAGAGTTATTAACATGTAAGACTTTTGCTTTTGGTGTTTATATCTCTGCAGCCTGAAACTTTAGTTTTATTTTAATCTAAAATTTAAAGAGTCTTACATTTCTTTTGGAATTAGTTTAACATATTTTGCCATCAAAGGGATTTGAAACAAAGTTATACCCCCAAGCATGAGGCAATAACTGGTAGCGCAGAAGCATTGTTTGTAAGACTCCCCTTTATAGGGTTTAATTGCAGAATGCAGAATTGCAGATGTGCCAACATCTGGGTATTGGGCTGCATGTTGCCCTGTGTCTGGCTCACCCAGAATCCCTGCCCATGCCATAGTTCCATCTCCACCAGGTGTAGGTGTCCACAGACACTTCTGGAGCTGTGACTACAGCAGCGCCGCTGGCAACAGGCAGTCACAGCCTTATGCTAAGGAGCAGAAAGTGCTGACAAAATGGGAGAAAATGATAGGATTTGCTTTATGCAGGCTGGAGGGATTCACCTGTATAGGACAAGTCATGGGGTGTGGTGTTTCCTTTCTTGGTATAGGTAGATGACAAATACTGAGGCTGCCCAGAGATCAGACAGAGTTTAATGCACTCATTCTATGCAGTAGTTGGAATGGTCTTCAAATGTCTGTGAAATCAAAGCCAATTCTAAATAACTCATACCTCTACTTAAAAATAGATAAATTACATGAGCATATACAAGCCTGAGTTTTAATTCTATGGTGTACGATGTTTTGCCACAAACATTGAAGGAATAAGTATTTGTAAGCAAGAGGATAAATAGAAAATGAGTTAGTCTTGTGTGGAAAGGTAAATTATAAAGAGCTCATTTTCCAGACCTAGGAAATGGGGCAGATCTGCTGGATCTCTTCTTCACTGAAACATTTCAATAAGTGGCACTCTGTAAATTATCTCCTTAGTCAGAAGAGATGGGTTGAAATGACTTAGTGAGTGGGATAACAGCTAGTGCTGAAGATATTCAGGCTGGGGACAGTTAAGAGTTTCTCCACTGTAAAGTTGCGGCTGGATGTTGGGGGGGGGGAGTGGGGGTGGGGGTGGGGGTGGGGGTGGTGTTATTTATTTGCTTGTTTTTCCACTAAATAGCTTTCCACAAAAGGTGGGGAATAAACTTGCAAAATGTGCTGGGTTGAAAGATGCAGAGAGAGAATTTTGAAACACGATTGAAGTGCTGTGGTTGGAAGAACTGATTTGGGGGAATTCATGGACTGCAGAGGTTTTTAGGGGCAGGGTTGGTGGGCAGCAAGTCTTGGTGTAGCAGTTTGGTGGGAGACACTGGCTCCCTTTTCTGCTTTTTTTGTAGGAGGAGACAACCAAGATAACTAGATGGATTATAGTAAAGTAATAATTCATGAAATCGTTGCCATGCCTTGAAACATCTAGGCATGTTGGAGGAAAGATACAGTTCATTGGCAATGCTTGTTGCCCAATCTATAGGATCAAGTAAATTCTGTCCCTGGAAATTCTGCTGGATTAAAAAAATATGATGAATGTTAAAATGAAAAAGACTACAGTAAAATTTAATGACAGTTTCTCTCAAAAATTCTTGGAGCATTACATGGAACAGTTAGCAGTGTCAGTAAAAGGCTTCTGGCAGATACTGAATACCTGAGTGGAGGTGTTGTCTGGAAAGAGTTCTTCAATAGCAAAGTATGAGGGACAATTTGCTTAGAGAAGCTGTGGCTGCACTGTCCCTGGAAGTGTTCAAAGCCAGGATGGATGGGGCTTTGAGCAACCATGAACTAGAAACTAGGTGATCTTTGAGGTCACTTCCTCCCAAACCATTCTGTGATTCCATGAATTCGGGTATTCACTGTGGTTGCAATGAGAAGTGTATTAGCATACACTCTTCAACGTATTACCATAGCTTATCTTGTTTGTGTGGTGAACATATCTCTGCAATCTCACAGTCCTTGACCGATAGATGAACTCTTGGAAAGTGTTGTTTTACTGGGAGATATTCAGGAAGGTTGATTTGTTTGGGTTTTTAAAATATTACTGAAAAGTTAAAAGTCCTTTTGTTCTAAACAGGGTGCATGTTCATCCACATTCCTATGACAACTGTAATAGATAGCAGATTGTACCAGGGACAGCCAAAAAAGGGCTTAAAAAAATGTACATGACCATACTTAAAAAAAATAAACTAGTAGGGAGGGAGGAATTTCCTGCCAGGGCGAGGTAGGGGAACAGCAACAGTGACTCAGGAGATGCTGGTCCCCGGACAGAGACTGTGGGTTACAGCTCACCTAACATAGCCATCTGCTCATTACTGCCCCATCTGCTGAGTTACCCCCAGGTTACTCTGTGAGCATATTAGTAGTGTGTATTTCCATTGTAATGCATGCTCCTGTTTGGTACCATCACGTGTTCGCTGGCATCCATCAACTTGAAGTTTCACCTGAACTAACTAGTTGTCACTGAGCTGCAAAACACAAGATGTTAAATATAAGAATATTTTGATGTTGTCATTGCTCATCCCAGCAGAGTACATCACTTAGCATACTAATGAAATTATATAAAGGGATTTAGCCCTAATTAAATAAAATCTGCTTAAGTTACTATGGTAACTTATGTCTGTGTCGAGGAGCTCTAATTGCAAGACAGTACTGGCATTCCTGTTTATAACACCCAACGGTTCTTAAATTCTGTTTCTTACTACTAGAGGTATTGTAAATTTTAGTCCTGATGGCTGCTTAGGAGGAGAGTAAAGCAGAGGGTGGGACAAGCCTGAATCCAGAGCTGGGCAGTTGTTGATACCATTGTTTATGCCAAAATGTCAGTGAACCTTAGAGAAGAGTAAATCCCAAGGAATCGATCTTGTCTGGTAGAACAGCAAAACTTTCACCCTGTACACTTCACTTATCCCTGTTCTTCACCCAGTTGCCTGTGTTCAGCCTCCAGTTCTGCAGACTTGGGCATTTAACCATCCCTAGTATCTTCTCTAGTTCTTTTCAGAGCCTGGAAAGATGGGAGCTTGCAGAACAGCAGTTGATATACAGAGGTATATGATCCCAAGACTCTAGTGATCTCACAAAGAAATAAATTCCTTCATTTAACAACCAGGCATTAAAGTCCAGGATTATATGTTGGTTTTTTTTTTTCATACTTATGCAGTCATAGTGAATGCACTGAGCTTACTCAGAGTATAGATTCTGGCTCCAGTAGTGGACAGGGACAGTTTGCATCTAGAAATTCACCAAATTCTCTTCTTTGTCTGTAATTTTTTTCTTTTCTTTTCTTTTTTTTTTTTTTGAGTTGGTCATGGTACTTACTGGCATGTGAACCAGAGAAGACGTGTTTTGCATCTGTTTCACTTCTGTGGTTCTGTGATGTTCAGAGTTACCTGTGCTTGCTGCTTTCTGTTGCTGTCTGTGATAGCAACCAAGACCTTCCTTTGCTCATGATGGTCTTGGACATGTTTCTGCTTTGAAAAAATACACATATTTGTATGTAAAAGTTTTTATTTGTTTCTTTCCTCACAAGAGGAAATATTTTCACACTGAGAACAAGCAGCTGTTGGAATAATCTCCCCAGGGAAGTGGTGGACTCCCCAGTGTTGGACACTTTCAGCTGGACAGGGTGCTGGGCCATCTAGTCTAGGTCATGCTTTGCTTAGAAAGGCTGGACCAGAGGATCCTTGAGGTCACTTCCAAGCTGGTAGTCTATGAAATCATGGAAAATTCAAATATAGATAGTATACATACCCTACACTGAATCTGTTCTGACACCTTTCTGAGATGGCGCTTTGTGTAGGTTTACGTTGTAAGGCCATGGAACCAGATGAGCTATTCACACAAGCTTTCACATTGCAGTTAAAGCCTGTGCACTTTCCTTGCTGTCAAGAGTTTGCCACTGCTGTTTCCCTTAAACTTTGAAATTTCCTATTGAATTGTGACCTGGGGAGATAAATAGGGACATAGGTGCTAACCCATCTGTCAGAGTCCCTCCTGCTATGAACACATTGTGGTTTGTATTTGTTTTAGTCAGTGTTTTCTGCATCTTTTCATTTCAGATTTGGCAGTGCGGCGGCTCCCTTGAGATTGTCACCTGCTCACATGTTGGCCATGTTTTCCGAAAGGCAACACCTTACACCTTCCCTGGTGGCACAGGGCATGTCATCAACAAGAACAACAGGAGACTGGCAGAGGTCTGGATGGATGAGTTTAAGGACTTCTTCTATATAATATCCCCAGGTAAGAAATTATTTTCTGGTGATATTATGATCCGTAAAGCTGTCTGGAAAAAAGGGAAATATAAATGTAAGGTACATACAGGTAAGTGTAGACATATGTATGCACACATATGTACTAAAAGTTGAGACATAACAGCAAAAGTGCTTTCAAAATTCACTATCCCAGCTGAGACCTGGACAACACGATAAAAGTATAAGTTAAGTTTCCTTCTCTCCTGAAGATCATAAGGTTTTTTTGTTCCAGAACGTTGTTCTCATGATGTTGGGAATCATGAGAAGTAGGAATGCTCTTTGACCCATCTAGTCTGAGATGCAGAATTTGGCTGGATCATTGGGATGATCCCTGAAAGTCCCTTCAGAGGCATCAGTGGGAGTGGATGGTGGAGATGCTCTGGGCCACTTAAAGGGAAGGAGCAGCCCTTCAGGTCATGGCACAAAATTTACCTGTTCGCTTGAAAAATTAGGCTTGGAGGCAATTCAATTTTTATCAGACACAGAATTTAATTTTATTTTTTTTTTCCTCTCTAAACAAACACAAGAAACAAAAACTTTTAAGGAGTGGCCATGATCAGGAAAAAAGAGTATGTACCTTCAGTGCTGGCTTTCTGGTAAAGACTGTTTTGGACCTGGGTTTCAAGTAGCCCGTTGTTCACAGCCAGCCTCTTAAAGCAGGCATTTTCAGCTAAGCCTCTTCTTTCTGTAAATCAGGACCAGTAGTTTTATTTAACTTTATTTGGCTGAAATAAATTAAAAACTAAGTGTAATATACTTTATAATGTTACTTTTCTTTTAAAGATTTGTATATAAAATAGAAAACTATCCTGGGTAGGTTTTTTACTCCCAACAGTTTTACTGATACCTCACAAGTATACAGTTAATAAAACCTCAATTTATTCAGTTCAAAAGCCAGAGCATCCAGTGCCTCATATATGAAAGCCAGTTATTTTTCATAGTATTTATAAAATATTACTTAAAATGTCTGTGGTAGAGTGTAGCCATAGACCATGTAAGTTATTGTTGCTATTTTGTTGTCTGCTCTGGGATAATCTTTCCATTCTTCCATCTTGAAACTTTTTTCCAATTTAAATTCTGTAGTAACAGAAGCAGTTTAAATTTTCACTATCACCAAGCATTGAACCCTGGATCATGTTGTTATCCGTATGAGTTTTGTATTTCATCTCCAGCACAATTTACTGTTGTTATACCTCAGCTCATTCTGCCTGCAGACCCACTTGTTTCCATAAGCTGTTTTGGTGCTTTGATTTTTCCAGGGGCTCAGGACACCTCAGTCAATCATTAGGTGCCAACATGCAATCACAAGCTGTGAAGTCAGAAGAGTCTTGTATTCTGCATGGGTTATTGCACGTGCTGTGGCTGTCACAGTATGTGCTCATAAAATATTCTAAGTCTGTCTTGGAAAGCCCTTATCAATCCAAAAACCATAGAACCATAAAAAAATAAATGTGTGTATAACCACAAGATACAAGCATGAAACAATTCCTAGGAAAAAAAAAAAGAAAGTCATCAGAATGATGATCCCCATGAGTCAGATGTTTGGGTTAACACTGAGTGCTTTTGGGAAGCATTCGCATGACTCTGTCTCCAGCTTGCAGGAAGGGCCATCGCATCATAGGGGAGAGAGGTGCAGACAGCTCTTCTATGTCTTTTTGAGATACCTTCTTGGGTACATCTCCTTGTGCTGTTCTGGCAATAAGGGCAACAGCATGAAAAACATACGGAGGAATGGCTGGTCACCTCAAGGAAAAGGAATTCTGTTCTCTCCAGGGAACAGCCCATGGGGAAAAGTTTCTTGGTCCGGTAAGAGGGATGAAACCAGGGAAGAAGACTTAAGTGTTCCTGAGTTCAGGATCTGTAATAACAAGAGCCAAACTAGCCAGCGAGTTGTACCATCCATCACCAGCCCGCGTTTCATTCTGGTGGCAGCGGGTTTCCTGGAGGGCAGAACAGGGTCTCCAGAAGCCATTGGTACCTTCGGATTCTGTTTGTCCTCTGCTCTCTGTGCTGCTTCTGAGTCACAGCGAGGACGAGCTGCTGCCTTGGTCTGGAGGAACAGGTCTGCTGTTAAAGCTGCTGGTGTTTGTCACCTCTCACAGTGCTGACTGCACAGGCATTATGTGCTGCATCTCGCGGGAGTGCGCCATGGGTTTCACTTTTACTGGGTTTAACAAAATTCAACAAAAAACATACCACAAGTGAAAAATAACCATGTTGACAGGGTCCTCTTAAATAATGGAAATTTAATTTTGTGTGATATAGGGAGGGCTGTGTCCCTTTTAATTATATCTGTTCAAATAAAGCTGAAGGAGTAGGGTACATGACAGAAATTTGGCTGTTTCTAGCATAATTGGTTTCTGTTCTCCTACAAGAGGAAAGAAAAAATGGGAGAAAATAAATATAACACTGATGAATATCTAATGTGGTCTAAAAGTGAATTCAAAACACATGTAAGATGCAGTCATGTTCCAGCCATAAATATATCACAGGGGAATTAGCCATTCTTTAATTCAGTTCTCCCTTATTAAGTTCTTTGTTGAACTAAATGCATTTCTAATAATTTACCCTGAAAGCATGTATTTTCTTATGAGTGAGGCATACAAGTGCTAACAATGTACATTCAGCATGTAGTGTGTGGGGTGAATACATTGCATTCCCTTTGCTTTTAAGTTCTGCCTTGACAGCAAGTTTTTCAGGGCTGATTAAAGCATTTAGGTGAGCTGAAGCTCTAAAGGTACCCTACTAATGGCTATTTAAAATACAATACATTTAAAATGAGATGTTAGCAAAATGTAGTCAGAGGCAACTGGAATAGTGATATACATGGCAGGATAATTTTAAAATTCCAGTTTTAAAGAGTGCTGGTTGAAATAGCTTCAGTGCTCACATTTCAGTTAAAAAAAAACTTCCAAATTGGTTATGTTCTAATTTTCAAATTCCTAAATGCAACACTCCAAATCCTGGATCAGAAATTTTCCTTTTTTCTCTTTCCCTTTCTTTCTTCCATTGTTTTTCTCTTTGTTTTAGACCCTTCTAATTCAGGGCCCCTTTGTTTACAGTAGGATTCCTTATAGGGCTTGATCTTTATTATTTTTTCATTTATTTTTAAAAATCTGCAGAATTTACCCTGAGATGCTGAGTGATGGAAGTGAGGAATTTAGAGCTGAGTAAAAGGTTAAGTTTGGATGGAGAAATTAAAATAAAAAGACCATGGAAAAATATATCTGATTCAAGCTTGCCTTTGACTGGCTTGACTAATTCTCCAGCAGATCTGCAAAAGCTGGAGCAGCACCTTCACTAAAAAACTTCCCCTGCTCTTCTCCTTTGATGACTTGATATGTCAGAATACAATACAATACATTAATTTGGAACCACCCCATTAAAAGAAATTAAAACTCAAGAAAGTGGCAGTAGGAAATACCCTGTTGCAGACCACCATGTGAAATGGAGTGATGCAGTGGTACCTCTGCAGGTCTAAATTGTTGAAATATGAGATTTAGTTTTGCAAGTGGGTGAGGAGCGTGTTAGATGGTATAAATGAGGACCTTAATCCTTTCTGCTGCTGGTTCCAGTCTGGAGCTGTCTGTGTGGCACAGCTATAGCAGGGAGTTACTTCTTGTGGCCCTCTTCTGTCAAGGGGATGTATGGGCAGATGGATGCTCTCTGGGTTTGGAAGAGTGGTGAATACTGATGCGTCATCTTCTGAACTGGCCAGTATCCTGTCATTCAGCTGGATGGAAAATGCCCAATTTGGACATTTGGAGCTGTGTGCAGATGCTTTTGATGGTGAAAGCCATTATGAAGCCCTGTCTAGAAAGCCTGCATTTTGAACTTTCCTCATTAGCACTTGTACCTGGGACAGAAATTAGAGTATTTCCTATTGCGTTAGAGAGGAGCTTCTGAAACCACTTGGGATAATTTTGCGGCTGCCTTCACAATTTCCTAGCTTTCAGCAAGCAACGGGGGAGGATTTTTTCAGTGACATTTTTTAACTTAGATGTCCAATATTAGGCTCTGTATCCTGCATTTCATCAGCTGGTTTCCAAGGTGAGAAGACATCCTTTCTCCCATGAAGAAGACCAATTCTTGCCGTAGGCCATTTTAATTTAGGCTCCTATGCATAGATATAAATGCAAGGCTATCTTTAACGAACCATTTTTCAGCACTGACATCCAGTGAGATACCATGCATTGCAAATATAGCTTTCCGCAGCAATTCTTTTGGGAAGGAAGGCCACTAGATGAAGCATCCTTTTTCTCCTTCCACCTGAGGAGGATATTTCTTTATCCATTTCCCTATCAAAATTTCCCCAGGTTGGCACCTGGCTGGGATCATTTTGCCCATTCTTTTATACTGATATGATGCCAAGGTAGCTCTAAAAATGCAGACTCCATCTGAAAAGATGGGAAGATAATAAGCAATCAACCCCACCCTGCAATGTTTTGGCTCCAGGTGCAGGACTGTGCAGGGGGGGAGGGAGGGGGACGTGCCTTCCACACCCCCAGGTTATCCTGATGGCTCAGCTTCCACTGCTCTTAACCTCAGGATGCAACTCAGTAATTCCTAGGTCATTTGCTTTCAATTGTTATTTATAGGTACAACTGTGGAGCCAACACAGCATAAAATATTTGGGTTTTTTTGATGATTTTTAGTGAAACAGTTTCTTTTTGTTAGAAAAGTTAGGGTGAAATGTGACTGATATGAGCACAAATCAGCAGAAATTTGGTGCTTTTGAATGTACTCTTATCCTTTACACAGTTATACATTTGCATATTTGCACAAGATTATGATACCACATTCAAATAGAGAACCTATGGACAAAATTCTATTGAAATAAAGGGTTACAGACCACCGGATCAGGGTGAGGAAGTTGACGAGGCCTTCTACAGGCAGCTGAGAGCGCCTCACAGTCACAGGCCGTGGTTGTCGTGGGGGATTTTAACTTCCCTGATGTTTGCTGGAAGGACCACTCAGCAACCCAGCCAC